GACAGAGCCGATGGCAGGTGAACGTTGGTCTCTCTAGCTTCCATTCACCGTCAATACACTTCAGCCACGAACCTTCCTGACCCCTTCCGGCAGCGAACCCGTCGGCGCATCTCACAAACAAAGCGGAACCGTGGGCAGCACCTTGCGTTGCATTGGTGACAGTTGCTTCTCCGAAATTTACCATTGGGGGGCTGTGCCTTGCTGACGCCTGTAACGAGCGAGGCGCCGCTCGGCCATTGAGGCCCCAGTCTGGCCCGGAGACGATATACGCTCCCTTTGGATACAGAGAAGCGTCAGGGCGACCCGTGCAGGTACGACGGCAGTCCAGGCCATCCTCAAGAACCCACTTCCCGTTGTCGCAGATGGCGCGATCCGAGTCTGCCATGTGGCCTCGAGTTGGCAAGTAACCCGGGCTGCATGCAACCACTACCACCTCTGGGTCACCCTTATCTGACAGTTTTGGTCTCTCTAGGGCAGCATATTGTGGGCTGAGTGACGCAAAGGACGCCTCAGTGCAAGGTTCGGGGGGCAGCTGCAAGGGCAGCTCGTGAAGCCCTTCGTCACCCCTCTTTGGAGGCAACGGGCCGAGCCCTGCAGCAGGCGAAGTGATTTGCTCCTCTTGCAGTGAGTTCGGCACGAATTCCACTCCTAGTAGGCCGTTTTCCAGATCCAGATAGGCTGCGAGGGATACACGGCCCAGCTGTCGCAGAGCCGCTGCCTCCACGTCCTTCATCAAACTCTGAGGCGGCGACACACAAGCACACAACATCTACTGGCAGTCGCCCTACGTAGGCAATCGGGCTGGTGGTCTGGGCTGTCTTTTCTACTGGTCTTCAGTGGCCTGCAGAACATGGACAGTGCCCTCTATTTAGGGAAACAGAGATAGAGACGCAAGAAGGGTTGCGCTCACTGGTTGCCGTAGGAGCTGGGCAACTCTGACTGCGTGATCCCNGATAGAGACGCAAGAAGGGTTGCGCTCACTGGTTGCCGTAGGAGCTGGGCAACTCTGACTGCGTGATCCCTCCCAGCATCGAGGATGAACTCTACAGTGATGCCTCGTGGGTCTGGCCTAGCAAAATGCCGCGCAATGTCCCTTTCTACGAGCCCGACCTTCCTTGTGAGGGCTGTGCCGAGGGCCCTGAAGATCTCGTCAACCTTCCCTGCGTCAGTTAGGGTGACCTGGGAGTTGAGCCCAACGACACGTAGCTCCACATGCAGTAACGGCCTAGGCTCACCAAGACTGCAGGTCCGGTCTGCTGCAGTCCCGCATATTTGCTCTGCGAAAGCTACCGTCCTCCGGACCTTCCAGGGGATCTCGCCGAGTGGATGCGCCGCCTCAGCCGCCGCTACGGCCCCCAGGATGTCGAGGCCCATCCCCAGGCAGCAGCCGCTTCCGCCGACTCCCCTAGCTGTCTCGTACTGCTTAAAGCACTTGCCGCCACACTCAAAGTCCGGGTGGTAAAGGCTGCATGTGGGGTCTACGAGAGAGGAAACAGCAGCGTGGAGTTGGGCAAACATCGATGAAGGCAGACAATCCCTGCCGTCCCATCCACAGGCTTCGTTGAAACACTCGGGGTCGCATTGCCCATCCTGTGCGCACATCAGGGGAACAACAATTCNCAGTTACCGGCTAAGCTTCTACCTGACATTAGCCCATCGGTAGAAGCTTAGGTCTTACTTGGAGGAAAGAATGGGGACATTGACAGTCTGGGAGCGGCAATTCCAGCCCTTGAGCAGCCACTTTGTGTGGGTTTGCTGCTCGGTATCTGTCAAAGAAGTGCCTCCCGCAGAAGTCCCCCCTTTCATTTGTAACGCAATAAAACCGTCCGTAGGCCCTCATCACGGAACCTAACAAAGAATGCCAGGGGTCTCTATATCTCTCCCCATATGCCTCTACTATAGCCCCAACTGCCCCGGTTAGCGGCACGAAACAT